TGCACTAAAGAAACTAGACCCCGACACCGTGCGTGCGTTTAAAATGGAGCATCGTAGCTCTAAGATGCCCCCCTTTGATTCATTAGCATCCTTTGTGCGAGACCAAATCAAATGATGCAGCGCTCCTCGAACGTTAGACAGGAGGTTAGGAAAGGTGTCGAAAGTAGACAGGCTCCATCACCTAAAACCGCAGAGTCGTTAACGTACGTAACCGCTGCACCGGTACCGCCGCAGAATGCCTGTATCCTATGTAAAGATAAAAACAACACGGTAATTTATACAATTGTGCGACCTTTCATAAACATTCACCCAGCGAACGTTATAGAATAGTGAGGCCGAATAACTTATCTCTGAATTGTTTAAGCGATAAGCATTTAGTTGCAAAATGCAATTCTAGTTCCGCGTGTAACAAGTGCGCCAGAAAAGATCACACGTTGCTACATTTCGAAAATAGCAACATATCTGCGTCAAGTAAAGCGGACAAGGAATTCACCCCTACTAAAGTCAACGATTCTAGCGATCGACCTGGTGATGTCGCTCCGTGCTCATTGGCAAATATGGGAGCACAGCCTCCTTCAACCGTGTTACTGGGTACAGCCCGTATTGTAGGGATGTGGGGATTCGCGTGGAAACGAACAAAGCGTCCGTACACTGCTGGACAGCGGATCCTAAAATAGCTTTATAACGCGACAATGTTGTCAACGCTTAGGCTTAGGAATAAATAGGTCACTTTCATGTCCCGTAGTCAAAGGCATCGGAGGTAGTAGTAAAGTTACCCAGGGATATATAAATTTAAAATTTTATTCTCGGATAGATCGTAATGTTAACTTTGATATAAATGCTTTAGTAGTAGATAAAGTCACTGAACGGCTGCCAACCGTTTCGGTTGACACCTCGGCAATGATTGAATTTAAAAATTTGACTCTAGCAGACGACACTTACGCCGTTCCCGGGAACATAGACATGCTCATTGGAGCATCGCTTTTCCCTCATCTTTTGTTAAACAATAAGGTCAGGGGCAACTCCTCGCATACCGCGCCTTACGCATTGGAAACCGTCTTGGGCTATGTCATCGTTGGCTCCGCCCCCATCATGGACAGTATTTCGGCAACCTCTTATTGTGGTATGGTTGTCGAACCGCTCGAGTCGTTTGTCCGTAAATTTTGGGAGATGGAGGAGGTGAACGTTCCACCTATAGTTAGCCCAGATGATAGAGTGTGCGAGGAAATTTACGTCCGCACGACCGTTCGTGATCACGACGGTCGATATAGTGTAGCGCTACCCTTTAAAGGAGATGTTTTATCTCTCGGCAATTCGCGTCAAATGGCGGAAAAACGTTTCTACAGCTTGGAGCTTAGGATGTTCGCTTCACCCCAGTTAAAAGAAGCTTATGACGGCGTCATTAACGAATATATAAGGGAAGGTTACATATCACTTGTGGATTCGAAATTAGATAACTACGAAGACACACCGTCGTATTTCATACCATACCACGGGGTCATTAGGGAGGACAAACTTGCATCTAAGTTACGTGTAGTGCTCGACGCTAGTGCTAAAACTAGCACTCACCTGTCGCTTAACGATATCCTCTATAGTGGGCAAAATTTACAGGGCAGTTTGTTTAATACAATAGCCAATTTTCGTTTGTTTAGTATAGCACTATCCTTCGATATTCGCCAAATGTTTCTTTGCATAGGGGTCCGTGAATGCGACCGTAGATTCCAACGCATTTTATATCGTTTCAACCCAAAGGTGTTTGAATTTAACCGCGTTTGCTTTTTCTTATTTGCTGTTTCTTATTTGTATTTTTAATTGTAAAGATACATGATTGTAAGCTGTAATTTCAAAAAAAATTGTTCCGTTGGGTTTCTTGCTGGTTCTGCCCAGGATAGAGGTTTTTTTTTCGAACCAGTGGTAATAAAACAAAAGAGTGAATTTCAATAAGTATTACTTATAATCTATATTAAATAAAATCTACTTAGATATTCTGGTACAGTTGTAAAAAATATTTAGTTGTTAGTAGAGTTTTATTAAAAGTTACATTGAAATTCAAAGTTAAAGTTTTATACCTAAGTTGACTGTACAATGATGTGCAGACTTAATTTTTATAAAAAGAATCATTTTATTAATAAGCTACGGGTATAAGGCTATTGTTATGAAATAAGTACCTATTTAATATAATTTTGAAAATAACAAACAAAACCTGGTCTCGATACCACAAAATTTTTTTCATCGCTGGAGGACTTAAGCACTATTCTCAATGACCTCAATAGTGCCTCCCAACGGATAGGTCTTAAGATGAACATGGACAAAACAAAGATCATGTTTAATGTTTATGTCACACCTATGCCGGTAGTTGTTGGGAGCACTATGCTCGAAGTTGTTGACGAGTACGTTTACCTGGGACAAATAGTCCGACTAGGTAAGTCCAACTTCGACCGAGAGGTCAATCGACGGATTCAACTCGGCTGGGCAGCGTTCGGGAAATTACGATACATCTTCTCGTCAGGTATACCTCAATCTCTGAAAACTAAAGTGTACAACCAGTGCATGTTGCCAGTGATGACTTACGGATCAGAGACGTGGTCCTTCACTGCTGGCCGTATGAGGACGCTCAAGGTCGCTCAGCGAGCTATGGAGAGGGCTATGCTCGGAGTTTCTCTGCGTGATAGACTCAGAAATGAGGATATCTGCAGTAAAACCAGAGTGACCGACATGGCCCAACGGATTAGTAAGCTGAAGTGGCAATGGGCCGGCCATATAGCTCGAAGAACCGATAACCGATGGGGAAGAAAGGTTCTCGAGTGGCAGCCTCGTACCGGTAGGCGTAGTGTAGGGGGGGCCCCCCACTAGATGGAGTGACGACCTGGTAAGATATGCAGGAAGTCGATGGATGCAGGTGGCTCAGGACCGTGCTTTGTGGCATTACTTGGGGGAGGCCTATGTTCAGCAGTGGACTTGTGAAGGGCTGTGATGATGAATGAAATAAATCCACTCATATTATCATATTAGTGCAAATTAATTGTTGTAGAGATAGTTTAAGAGCCACATACTTCTTGATCTTGACATGCTGAGAGTAACGCACAACCTCAACTGCTTCGCGGTGATGGTTATGAGGTGTGCAATATTTGAAAAAAAAAAGAAAATTTGTACTTTACAAAAAGATATGAAATTCGAACAAAAACAGTTTCGCTGTAAAACTCGCGCTGAGTACACTTTTAACTTTGGTTACAAAACTGATAATTACATTCAAAAAAATTATAAAATAAAAAGAAACCAATTACATAACCAATTTCATACCTTGTAGAGCCATGCTGCAGTTATATTAGTAGTATAGTTGTAGCACGAATGGGTCGGCTCATTCCATCGATTCCATTCGAGGCATTCCATCTTAGTCCTCACGGGTGACAACGTATCTGCATTTTGATTTGTAATCGAGGATAAATGTAGATGTCTATGGGCCACAGCAACCACCACAGGTGGACTGTGTGCTCGTTTGTCACCCTATCCTATAAAAAATAACCGTTTTAGATTCGAAAAAAAATTTCTAGAAAATGTAATAATAAAAAATGGTGTACTTGGTGTACATAATACTTTATAAAGTAAAAAAAGTAAAGTAAAGTTACAGCCTATATAAGTCCCACTGCTGGGCACAGGCCTCCCCTCATTTACTAAGAGGGTTTTAGGGCAAGGAAGTGTCTGCCGCGCTGCCCTAATGCGTGTTGGCGAACTTCACATGTCTTCGAAATAATTTTATTTATTATTCCTCAGACATGCAGGTTTACTCACGATGTTTTCCCTCACCGCCGAGCACGTGGTAAATCAGCACTTAAAATTGCAATTAACAATTTCATTGGTGCCGGCGGGGATCGAACCCGGGTTACTCGCGTTCTGTTATATTTACAGCGAGCGTTAACCATCTGAGCTACCACGGCTCACCAATACTTTATAGTACGAGCTTAATTCAAAAGAGTTATAAAAAAACGACATCCAATGTCAAGTTTGGTGATCGAAAGTCTTAATCATGCACACCAAGTACACCAATTTTGTATCATTAATTTTTCCAAAAAAAAAATGTTTCGAATCTAACACGGTTATGTACATGTTTTTTTTTTCATTTTGTATTTTTTTGTAAAAATGTAATTATCAGTTTTGTAACTATAGTTGAAAGTGTACTTGGCACGATGTTTTACAGTCACACTGTTTTTGGTCGGAGATAAGACTTATGAATGTTTATTATATTTATTAGTATGATATAATCTCTGCCTACCCCTCTTGGTGACAGGCGTGAGTGTTTATGTATGTATGTATGTATAATCGCCTTGTTTGTTTAATGTTTAATACACTTCGAATATTCTAAGAAGATTTTTAGTAATTTTAAAGATTAAGGCCAATATTATGCCTTTACAAAAACACTTAATGTTCGAAATGAATGTTTTTAACTTAATGCTTATTTAATGCATTTTAATATTTATTTTTTTATAAATATAATTAAATTATATATATAATTAAAATAACTCTTACGGTATTACTATAGGCACAACGTTTTGACCAGTTGCAGTAGGTATCTAAGGCATGTCCAATAAATTGAAGCGACCAACTCAAAGAGTAGTGGGTTCGGACATTGTGGGTCGAACTAACTAAATTATATAACTATTTTAGACGATTTTACATTGACTTTTTTATATTAATTATGTGCCGTCACAATTTCTTACATTATACCCGTGTCGCGGTCCCGCTACCGCTGCGGGTGCAAGTAAATATCTCGTCAAAATATTCCTTATCTTTTTCAGCTGGATATCTCTGCATGTCATTGGGCATCATGGTCGCCTGGCCATCCTCCACTCTGAATCTCTTCTCGTCTGCGAACACTACTCTCAACAGACTAATGACGGAAAGCGAGGTTGCTCTTTTGGGCAGTTTGCCTTTAATCGGCGCCTTCATAAGCTTACCGTGCGTCAGCTGCATTATAGAAACTATTGGAAAAAAAATATTGTTGTATGCTGATTTCGGTGTTACAAGTAGTAAGTAAAATAAAAAGTAAGAATTTTAGAGATTTTGAAAGCGATCCTGGCCGATATTACAGCAAAGAAATCCCATTAGTTTCCTCAAAGAGCAGTGGATTTTAAAAGGAAATCGCTGAAATCAACTATGTGCCTACAAAAATTATTGTTCTGGATCCAAATGTAAAGCTACCCCAGGAAAGTACCAGCACCCCTGGAGAATCCCTCGCTGAGCATCTAAGCTACTCCACTCCTCATCGTGGGTGCTCAGGCTGTCCCACGTATTCAGGGGGGGTTAGGGGCGCGAAAATCCGCTAAAGACAATAACTGTTCGGGGCAAGCTGAGCAACAAGACCAAGGCGATCCCTGCCACGCTATCGGTAAATTTCTGCAATATCAGGGGACTTCACTCGAACCTAATCGTCGTCAACCACCATCTCGAGACGATGAAGCCAGCTCTGCTCTTTCTGACCGAGACGCAGGTTTACTCTATTGCTTCGTATCTCTCCTACCCGGGGTATAAACTGGAACACTCCTTTGTGCCTCGGGCCAAAGTTTGCGTATACGTCATAGAGGACATCTGTTCTTGACGCCTCGACAGTCTTGAAGGTTAAGACCTGTCCATCCTTTGGCTACAACTATCCGCGCATCTACGGGTGCCTCTATAAGTCCCATAGTAGTCCCAGGGAGATCTGTTCATGATTTTGCCTTGACATATGGACTGACACAACTGGTTAGCTCGCCTACACAAATTCTAGATGTGGAAGTTCATGCACCTTCCATGTTATACCTTTTGCTGAACTCTCATCTGGACAGATATCAGGTCTCCGTCGATGCCACTCACGCTGACATCGCGGTTACATTCTGCAGGCTGCCGCAATCATATCAATGATATTGTTGCGCGCCTAAGTTGACGTCATGTACCCGGCACTAGCGCCATCTAGTGTCGGGGACGAGAGCGAGGAGGGCTTCCTAGAAAATGTCAATCTTAACTTTCGAACAACAGCGCCATCTAGTATCGAACAGAAGAATTAAGCTTTCTAGAAGTCCCACACTCGAACTTTCTGCGCATGGTCGGTTAGTTCACGTATTTACTTGAATATTCTGGACGTTTCGGTGAAAAATGTGTATTTAAAGGCGCTGCAAGACGCGGTCGAGGCAGTATTGAATTTGGCGAGACAAGCGAAGGTTCGGAGCGAAATAAAGTGAATCAGTATGATTTGTGGCGGCGCTGTCATCGCGCCGCAAGCGAAAAACACACCGAAGCCTAAATCGCGCTATCAACATTCCGAATCATAAACAGCATATATAGAACATCTCCGAACTATCACACGGAGTGTTGGCCGCTCCCCGGGCAGAATACCTTGCCCGGCGGGAGATCTCCCTTTTCCTACTTCAGCCACAGTGGTGACCCCGACGTGATCTGAACACGCAACCAAACACCTTCGGAAACTACAACTTCAAGTCTTCGTCCCCTACCATTCACTACTGAGAATCGTCTTCTGCAGTCTTCAGTTCCTGCAAGCCAGTCCAACTTGTCTTCATCTCGACTCACCGCAGATTTATAAGGCAGACTTCTGGCACTTGCTCCGGCACATCGTTCTCACCGGCATCACTTGCCAGTGCGTAGTACGGCATGCATTACACATCGGTATATCATTCGCACCGGTGTCACTTGCCCTTACGCACACAGCATGCATTCCCCACCGGCATTAAAAGGACACACCGGCAATCGGACTACACTATCGACCTCCGGTCTCAGCAGGGGGGTGATGTGGCGGCGCTGTCATCGCGCCGCAAGCGAAAAACACACCGAAGCCTAAATCGCGCTATCAACATTCCGAATCATAAACAGCATATATAGAACATCTCCGAACTATCACACGGAGTGTTGGCCGCTCCCCGGGCAGAACACCTTGTCCGGCGGGAGATCTCCCCTTTTCCTTCCACGGCCACAGATTAATTATTAGTGTTTTAAGTTTCAATTGGTGTTCGGCAATAAAAACGTAAATTTTGGTAATTCAATCGGCAGTTTATATTGTCACGAACCTCAAGCTCGTAACAATTGGTGTCAGAAGTGGGATAAAATAATACCGATTTTACCTAAGGAGGAAACGGAGGGTGTCCGAACCGAAGTCAACGCCAGCAGGAGACGGACCAAAGAACATATGGTGGTGCAACGCCGCAGACGTCGGAGAGCCAGCCACCGGCTGCAGGCCCGTCAGTAGCTCCTACATCTGCAGCACCTGACTAAGATGCTCTGATGGTGATGCTGCAAGAGCAGGCTCGCCGACAGGAGGAGCAGGCCCGTTGATTGAAAGAGCAGCAGGAGGAACAGGCTCACCGACAGGAGGAACAGGCCCGTCGACAGGAGGAACAGGCCCTTTGGTTGAAAGAGCAGTAGGAGGCACAGGCCCGCCAGCAGGCGGAACTGGCACGCCGATTGGAAGAGTAGCTGCGGGGCGGACAAGAGGAACAGGAAGAGCAGATGCTCCTCATGAAGGACCTTCACGCTACCTTCGGGAAGGAGATGAAGGAGGTGAAGGATAAGGTTGCTTAACATGACAACCGCCTTTCGGAAGCTAAAACCCGTATCGAGAAATCTGAAACTCGAATCGACCAAGTGAACAATCGGGTAGACAACGTGATGGCTGACGTGAAGAAAACGCTGGACGACCTCAAACTGGGGGATGGAATTACAGCTCCCGTAGTAGCTACAACACCTTCGCTACGTGGGTTCAAAGGGCCGTCGTTCGACGGGACTTTTTCCTGGTCGGCCTACAAAATCCAGTTCAAGGCTGTAATGAAAGCAAACGGCTGGAATAAAAGTCAGGCCATGACTGCTCTCACACTAGGCCTGCGCGACCAAGCCTTAACTGTTCTAGAAGCTATCGGTAAAGAAGTGAATAACGAGCAGCTCCTTGAGGCATTGGAGGCTAGATATGGCGACGCTCAACTGGAACACGTCTTTCGAGCGCAGCTTAGAGATCGCGTGCAACGCAGCAACGAATACCTGCAGCAGTGGGCTCTAGTGGTGGAGAAGCTGGTGCGAAAAGCATACCGGTCTGTACCTGCGCTCATTGAAGGGAACCTGGTGCAGATATTCATCGACGGCATCCGCGACCTTGAAGTCAGAGTTGCTGTGAGGCTCGGGCACCACGAGACTCTTAAGGACACCTTGGCCCATGCATTGGAGGTGGAAGCCGTGCGGCAGGATCATCGTTCCCATCGCGTCAGGGAGGTTGCAGCAGCTACAGTTTGCGACCGCAACGAAGGATACAGCCCTAGGTGCTATGGCTGTGGAGAAAGGGGTCATCTTAGATCCAGCTACCCTAAGCGAACCCTAGAAAGGGAAGGTGAACGATCTAAGAAGGGAAGTGCGGCTAACATCGCCGCCCAGCAGCAGCAGGAATACGACTTTACTATCAAACATCGCAGCGGGAAATCTCATGGCAACGCAGATACATTGTCAAGAAGACCTTGTCCTGAAGATTGCAAACATTGTACTAGGTAAGAGAGTAAGGAAGTGGTATCCGTGAGGATGCTCAGGACAGACCACCTCAGCAACAAGCGGTAGGACAGCCTACGACATGCACAGCAGGAAGATCCGGACATCAAGCCGATTCTGGAATGGATGAAGGCCCGTGCTACCAAGCCCAAGTGGAGCGACGTCTCAGCGATGAGTTCGACCACTAGAAGCTATTGGGCCCAATGGGACAGCTTGCTGATTCAGGATGGAGTCCTATGCCGTAAATGGGACAATGGTCAAGGAGACAGCTGTCGTTTGCAAATGGTTGTCTCTAAAGCTAAAGTGTCGAATGTTCTGCAGCTGCACCATAATGGTTGTTCAGGAGTCCATCTGGGACTTAAACGAACTCTACTAAAGATCCGAGAACAGTTTTACTGGGTCCATTATCGTGACGATGTCGAGGATTGGTGTCGCACATGTACAAGGTGCGGCTGTGAGGGGACCTCAGACACGTAGTAGAGGAGCATCGAAATTGTACAAATTTGGTGCACCATGGGATAGGACAGCCCTTGACATTGCGGAGCCGTTACAGAGAGGTGCAAGAGTGACTCCTAAGATTGTCCATGTGGATCGCCTAGCGCGTTATTATGGGGCCGATAATGCTCGGGACGAGCATGTCTTAGGAGGGGGCAGTGTTGCGCGCCTAAGTTGACGTCATGTACCCGCACTAGCGCCATCTAGTGTCGGAGAAGAGAGCGAGGAGAGCTTCCTAGAAAATGTCAATCTTGACTTTCGACCAACAGCGCCATCTAGTATCGAACAGAAGAATTAGGCTTTCTGGAAGCCCCACACTCGAACTTTCTGCGCCTGGTCGGTTGGCGCGCGTATTTACTTAAATATTCTGGACGTTTCGGTGAAAAATGTGTATTTAAAGGCGCTGCAAGATGTGGTCGGAGCTAAATAAAGTGAATCAGTGTGATTAATTATTAGTGTTTTAAGTTTTAATTGGTGTTCGGTAATAAAAGCGTAAATTTTGGCTCAAGCTCGTAACAATATGTTGCAAACCGGTAACATTCATTGCTATGCGGATGACAGCACTAGTGATGCTCTGTACACCGCCCGTGCCATTATTTTTCGGGAAAACTTGTCCGACTACCGGGACAAACGTGTCTGAAGTCAAGTCTTTGCTAAACAAAGTTCCAGATTGGGGGCGAATAAATCTAGTCCAGTTTAATCCTCAGAAGACATAAGTTTGCGCATTCATCGCTAAAAAGAACCCCTTTGTCGTATATCCTCAGATTCAAGGCACTCCCCTGGTTGTCTCAGCCAGTATCGGAAACCTCGGCGTCGACATATAGAGTGACGAGCAGGTTTGTGGTCACTTGGAAGAGAAGGCCAAATTGGCCTTCTCTTCCAAATTTTCTTGGAATTTCATGCTGGCACACTGCCTGCAACTTTACAAGGCGCAAGTTCGGCTTCACATGGAATAGTGTTCACATCTCTGGGCTGGGGCTCCCCAGTGCCAGCTCCTTCCACTTGACCACATCGAGCGCAGAGCGGCTCGAATTATTCATGGACGGCGGTAGTTACTAGCATCAGGTGAACCACATGCTCGTTTGCCTCCTCTCCTATAAAAAAAGCAGAAATGAGTCACCTCAACCGGAAAAGGACCACGCTCTCACAGAATACCAGCGTAAAAAGGCAGCATAATTCTACTGTATTTCATTTCGTATGTCGAGTAAAAAACACCGCAGGCCATATTTATTTAAAATGAGATATTCCATTTTAGTCCTCAGTGCTGATAACACACCTGTATTTAATGCTTAATTTAGAATAGATTTGGCTGTCTATGGTCTGCTTCCACTTAAAATCAGGTTGATGGTATGATAGTTTGTCATTATTCATATTAAAATAGATTTGTTAAAAAGTTTTAAGCAATGTTTCAAAACTCAACGATTTTGAAAGTTGTTTAACATACTCGTTCATGGATATAAATAGCAAAACTATTAATATCCCCGTTTGAATGATTACTCAAGTAGCATTTTTATCCACAGGTCACTTGGATCGTTAAAACTGTGTGCTACAAGGTGGAAGCTATCCTCGCGGCAATGTTTCTGTCTGGACTCTGCGGCGGTGTATTAATGGTTGTGCCGATCTATGTGAGCGAGATCTGCCAAGACTCCATACGAGGGAGAATGACGGCAGGCACAATGATATTCTACTATATTGGGATGCTCGTTTCATACCTCATGGGAGGCTATTTAAAATACGACATCATGAACTACGTCTGTTTATCCATGACAGTGCTTGGAGTGGTTCTTGTATCTTTTTTAAAGGAGTCACCGATCCATCTGATCAGGAAAGGCCATGAGAACGTAAGTTCAAGGAAAAACAAACGCAACCATTTCGTGTACTTCTTCTTCTCTATCACCTTGTAACAGCTTTAACACTTTTATATTGATTATCTTGGGTGTATAAGAACCATAGAATCTACTACCCTGAAGTGAACTCTGAGATCGCTTGTTACTCTTATACTTGTATGAAAAATATACTCCCGCCTAAGGATGTAGATAAAAATGTCCACTACATTTTCTATATAGAAAGAGTGACGTCACAAGTTGCCATCATCGTTATCACAGCAGCCCATCACAAGTCAATTACTCTGTTTCCACTGCAGATATTTTTATTATAAATTCTATAATACAGAGAGACTCCAAGAATATCCAAGTTCATAGCTCACTGTGTGACCTTGAGCTTCCACATACAGCTAGCAGTAAAATTTCAAGTTCCAGCCATTCTAGAGATTTTATTACCATTATTGCCTATCAAAATTTCTCTGCTGAACGTAGGTCTCTCGCATAGATTACCTCATAGTAAGAATATTTACTAATGTTGTTAAGCTTGGCGAGCGGGTAGACAACAAGAGTTTATTATTTTTAATCACCTAGTGGCGGCGCTGTTGTCGCGCCATAAGCAAAACGCACCCAAGCCCAAATCACGCTATCAAAGTATTTAAGTACTGCGCTATATATAGAACAGTTCTCTGCTAACACACTAGGAAACAAAGCGAAGCGGGAGGTCTCCCCCTTTTCCCCCCACTTCCTAACCAGTGACCCTGATTATGATGAGTGATAGCAGTGATTCCGCAAAATATGTTGACTCGCGCCACGATGCTAACAGCAATATGAGATGGAGGTGCTTATTGCCCCTGAGCGCGAAAATAAATAGGTGTCTAAACTAAAAATTAAAGTGCCTCCACTTTTAAATGAGGATTGAGAACTTTGGTTCGCACTTATTGAAGGCATCAATTAGCTAGGTAAGTATAACGTCACTGACGATTCCATTAAGTTCACGGAAGTAACCAATCATTCCTAGGATATCCAAATATATAAAAGCCGTGAAGGATATTATTGTTAATCCTCCTGTTAAGAATCGCTTTATCAAGTCAGAGCTGATCAAACGTCTCTCAGCTTCCAAAGTAGAGAAGGTAAAGCAGTTGATGACACATGAAGAGCTCGGAGAAAGGAAACTTTCACTTGAAGGCTTGTCCTTCAGTTCCTGAAGACTTTATTAGATAAATTTGGAGCAATAGTCTACCGCATGATATCCAGACTGTGCTGACATCACAGCCGACACATTCATTGGAGTAACTTGCGGACCTAGCAAATAGGATATAGGAGTTGACGTCAGCCTGCAACGTCACTGCCGTATAATCCCGTGACGTGTCTTATGCGTCCGATGAGATTACAAAGTTGTACCATCTACAACTTTGTAATCTTTTTCCAGCTTAAGCGTAACTTAACCATCTTAAGTTACGCTTAAGCTGGAGGAGCACAACTGTGCATCATGCAGTTCTACTAATTGCAGGCTTGCCACAGTGCCGGCACAAGCTGTTTGAAAGGAAGATGATGCTGCCCATCTCCTGATTCAGTTTTTTCTACCGCCTTTTACTAGTATACCTACGGGATGATATGTAATAGTGGATTAACCATGTACTTACGATGTAAAAAATTTTATGTCTAGTACAAACACAGTGGCTATGTCGTCGTATATTTATACGATATAATACCAAAAGTTTCTTGGGGTCTCTCCCTAAAACTGTTTTTGCTAACTTATAGGGTGAGATAAAGTACTTTCATTATAAGAGTCAGTTTTAGTTACCCAGGTAAGCAAATTTTTAAGCCGTAATAAGTAATATAGTCCTAGATTTTGACCAAAGTTAATAATAATAATAATTGGTTTTCAGCTTCGGAAAGGAGGTACAAAAGTGACTCACCTTTTTTATATGGATGACCTCAAGTTATTCGCCTCCAGTCGCTCCCATCTCGTGGAAATGTTAAAGATCACCTGTGAATTTAGCAATTCTACTGGAATGGAGATGGGGACGGATAAGTGTGCGGTCCTCCATGTTGAAAGGGGAAAGGTTAGAACATCGGTATCGATGAGGCTGGTATGAAACAGTCAGCTTGCGACGTGCTTGACCAAAGTGCTCAACAGCCTTTTGTCTGGTGTGAATAAGACTCATATATATATATATATATATATATATATATATATATATATATATACTTTTGGCATACTCAGGTGGACTCAGACTGAACTTAACGCGCTGGATATAAAAGTCCATACTACTATGACGTCCCATTGGATGCATCATCCGAGATCGTCGGTAATGAGGCTGTACTTGCCGCGAAAGCATGGTGGGCGTGGCTATTTGAGCGCGCTCACCATGCATAATCGCGAAGTGTGCAGCCTCCGTAATTACTTCCTGGTGAGATCGGATGATCCATTCTATAAGGACGTCATTTTTGTGTTAAAGGACTTACCCCTCTATCCTTAGCCAACGAGCAATGGCAAGACCCGGCAGTGCAGAGCATTACCGACCGGGAGACCGTATGGAAGGAGAAGGAGCTCCATGGGAGGTTCTACAAGGCTCTACATGAGCCTTTCGTAGATGCAGTAGCCTCCCTCCACTGGCTACGCTTTGGTGACCTCTTCGGGGAAACCGAGGGTTTTGTCTATGCAATACAGGATCAGGTTATTAAGACCAACAACTATCGGAGATACATCCTAAAGGATGGCACCGTCGACATCTGTCGAGCTTGACGCCATCCCGGTGAGTCACTTAGGCATGTCATCTCCGGTTGTTCGGCGCTTTCTAGCTCTGAGTACTTGCACAGGCGCAACCTAGTAGCCAGAATTCTTCACGGCGAGCTCGCTCTGAAATACGGTCTCGTGGACCGGAAATTGCCGTATTACAAGTACTTGCCGGAAGCCATGCTCGAAAATGATCACGCCAGGCTCTACTGGGACCAGGCCATCATCACAGACAGGACTATTCTTGCGAATAAGCCTGATGTTGTGCTGATGGACCGGACACAGTCAAGTATATTTTTGGTCGACATTACCATTTCGTATGACGAGAACCTCGTGAAAGCCGAAACATATAAACGAACAAAATATCTGGACCTGGCTCTCGAGGTGACCGACATGTGGGGTGGTCTGCTGACTGAAATTATTCCTGTAGTCGTTTCTGCAAACGGGCTAATCCCAGTCAGCCTATCGGGTCATCTGAGGAGGCTGGGACTCCGTGACGGACCACTCCAGGCTCAAATGCAGAAGGCGGTGCTCCTCGATACCGCCCGCATCGTCCGCCGGTTTCTCTTCCCTTTCCCCCTAACCCTCGGCCTACCCTGCCGAGGACCTCCGTCTGGTTGGGCTTTTATTTATTTATGTATTATTTATTTATTTGTGCTGGTATATGAAATATATATTTATGTATATTTATCCTTTTATATATTTATTCAGACCAACCAGATGAGAATACACTACTAATACCACAATAAGTAGTATTTATTTTCTCCCACATATTATCGGTACATTACAATACAACAAATAATAGTAAACTTATACAACTAAATAACAGCTATAAATACTTACTAAATAAGATGTAGGTGGGAGACTGGTGCCCAAACTAGGTTTCCCTGTGCTATGGGATCACCAGGCCCCTCCGTCAACAGAAGTGATATTGCTGTAACTCTCAATAAACATTACAACTACTTGTAAAATAAATTGTACATTAAAATAGACTTGTTCAAACGTTGTTGGAGAAACTGTTTAAAAATTATTAAAATATTTTCCGTGTACATAAAAAAGAAAAAACCTGTTTTAAATAATAATAAAGGTAGTTAGGTCTATTAAGTGATATTAATGTGTCGGTTGTGTGTATGTGTGTAGTGTGTAAGTGTGTAATATATATTTAAACAATATGTTCAAATACTTTTTCTGTCTGTTCGTAGTCTAATGATTTAAGCCATTTAGTTAAAGAATTTTTTGTCTCTCTCTTATTTAACGGATATATATTTAATAATTTGTTTGCTAGATTATATAGGACTGGACCTTTGTAATTGAAAAATCTTCGAGCAAATAATAAATTGGTAACCGGTACAGTGCATAGATGATGCGGAAGTCTTTTGCTTAATATAGGATTGGATTTATTATATTCCGTTTTTGAGTGGTTTAATAATATTGTCGCAAGAATATAGAGCTGACGTACGGTGAGCAAGTCACATAATTTATAGAGTTAGTTTGTTAAAAATAATCTGTGTTTTTATAAGATATTTTAAGTATAAGTCTTTGTACACGTTCTAACCCAATCATATGGGTTCTTGCTGCACCCCCCCCCCAAGACGTTATGTTATAGTTAATAATAGACTGGCATAGGGCATTATAAACGAATTTTATGATACTGACATCAGCAAGATGACGAAGCTGCTTAAAAATATATGTTAGTTTACGGACTTTGGATAAAATATGGTTTATAATATACTCTTCGAACTCTGGTCTATTATAACACCTAAGTATTTGGTGTTTGTTGCCTTTTCAAGAGAACGACACATACATGAGCTAAGAGGTGGTATATAGCAATCATGAACATATAAGTTTAAGTTCTCCTGGCCTTTTAATGCTGGTGCGCTGATACAAAAGGGATTGTATTTAGTTTTAGTTGCGTTTAAAGATAGAAAATGTGTATATAGCCATTGCTGTACTGTATTTAGGCCAGTTTGTGCTACAGAATAAACTTCTTTCCAAGATTGACCGTAAAATATAAGTGCGGTGTCATCAGCATAGCACATAACCTTGCAATTAAGAATATTAATTTGACAGAGGTTATTAATATAGCACAAAAAGAGGGTAGGGCCCAGAGCACTGCCTTGAGGAATTCCACGTCTAATACTATAATCGTCACTCAAAATATTGTTAACTTTGGTGCACTGAGTGCGATTGTGTAAGTAGTTGCTAAGCAATTAGAGTTGAGTATCTCTGATGCCTAATTTCTCTACAATTGCTAAAAGTTCGGGAAAAGAGACTGTATCAAACGCTTTCGCAAGATTCAAAAAATATAGTTAAGATTTTAGAATGAGAATCTAGGTTTTTAGCAACGAAATCCACAAATAATCTTGCCGCTCTTCTGCAGATTTATATTTTCTAAAACCAAATTGATTTTCAGACAGTAATTTATTTGTTTCTAGGTATTCTAAAAGTCATTTATTTATTAATTTTTTAAAGATTTTTGATAAAGTGGAAAGTATTGATATGGGGCGATAGTTATTGATACAGTCTCTTTTCCCTCCCTTGAGGATAGGCAGTACAATTGATTTCTTAAAAGCGTCAGGAAATACACCGTCTTTTAAACACTGGTTAAAGAGCTTTGTTAGTGAGGGAACAATGTAATACGAGTATTTTATAGCTTTAAGTATTTTTGCCGAAATACCATCCCATCCAGGTCCAGAATCAGTTTTTAGATTAATCTAAGTTGGCTATGATATCAGATACATTCGTGAGTCAAGGCACCGAACGGACACGTGACTCACTTGGCTGACGTCTCGAATAATCACTCTTGTTGCTCTGCCCTAAAATTGCTACTGTCCCTTATGCCAATATCGAATGGTGGACTTACACGCGTATGTTATCATCTCTCTATTTACAGGAGACTGCACGAGCAATTGCATTCTACAGAGGCACGTCTATTAATTCTAAGCTGGTTAAAGAAGAATTGCAAGTGCTTCGAAGGGCGCTTAATCCGGATTTGTGTGGTAGCTATCGTAAAAAAAATTGCATTTGTATTTGAAAATATCAATTAGTACACATAGTCATTTCAAACATTTGGACGTAGGACTAACAACCCGATTTGTAAATAAGTTTTCTAGGTGATAGAATTTCTTTTTGTCTACCATTCCGATCTGAAATTTATAAAGAGCCAGCATAATACAAGCTGTGAGGCATTCTTAACCTTCTTCTTTTGAAGTTGTGTGATGGAATCCGCGGGCTGCAGTAGCTAATTACCATCAGGTGACTATACGAGTACGTACGTATTACCTGTTGTAGTTACATTTGGTGTACAACAGGGGTCAATACTGGGGTCACTCCTATTTATCAATTTTCTTAGAATAACACTAGATGCGAAGCTTCAATGGGGCCCCTATATATGAATACTAGCAAGCAGACTTAGTTCTGCAGCATATGCTGTAAAAACAATTAGGAATTTTTTCTAAATTGATTAAAACTACCCTTGAAACATACCCCAGATTTTGGTAAGGTAAGGTCAGACTTCCAATACCGATACAGTTACGGAATATTAAAGTTCAGTACGGAATGAAGGCTTACCCCATAGATTGACTCAAACGGGGGATATTTGCCATAGTTGTCGCGCTTGGCAAGCGGAATGGTCACTGCAGCTTTTATTTTTAGTCATTAGAAAGATGCTACTGAAAATCTCTTGATTTGTTTTCGGTAATTAACTTTTATAAATCTATTTAATAAAAAAGATAAACAAAAACCGATTTGTCTCGCGAAGAATAGAGTGGAATTCACTAAGCTGCTACTACTGCCTGCCTGTCTGGAGAGGCACCTGAAGAAGAAGAATAAAAAGGGATCATTAAAATCAGTCTAAAATTAACGAAAGTTTCGCGAAATATGCCTACGAAAAACATACAAAACCTCCTCCTTCTCCTTTTTTTCAAATAGCTAAAAAATATCTAATGATTAAATTTAACTTACAGATATTACGCCTGAAGAAGAGAAACTAAAGCCTGATTTGAAGGAAAACCCTAAAGTTTCCTGGTGGCAATTTTTAAGTATGTAATCGTACATGTCCGTTTCTTTTTTTTATGTATTAATAAGAAAAAAATTCTCAGTAGCAGCCCGGAGTCGAGATGTTGGCGATGTTTTGTCCCGTGTCTCGGGAAGTAACCCTAACAGAGTATGAGACACAGTCATATACACTGTAAATATACACTAGTGCCCTAACAGAGTATGAGACACAGTCATATACACTAGTGCCCTAACAGAGTATGAGACACAGTCATATACACTAGTGCCCTAACAGAGTATGAGACACAGTCATATACACTAGTGCCGTAGCCGCAGTATCAAAAATTAGTTAGGGTTATTGTGATGACATCTTATACTTATGAGAATACTACAAAGTAAATTTAAAAAAATACAAAAATATCGCAAAAAGTTTTAACTTAGTCATATATTTTTACTTCCGACATCAGTACATTTCAGCACGGTCACGGAAATGCTAAGTTGTTCAACGATCTGGTGTCATAGTATACCCGGCTATATTCTGCTTATAATATTTTATTTTAATGATTTCTTAAATTTACGCGAAAACTAGACATTGAATAAAACTATTATTTACGGATTTTATCGCGTTTTAATTGCAACTTTAATTTATTTTTATTATCCCGATGTTTCTGCGAACATGTTCAAGATCGTCCCCACCATTACAATTAGATTTGATAAACCACAAATCCTCGCAAAAGAATTGTAAGAAAACAGGTTTAATTTAAGTTCTACTTTTGTCAACCTATTTAATACATCGATGGGAAGTCTGCAGTTTGCGATCACATCCTAGATGGCCCCAACCATTACATCAGATTTGACCACAAATCCCCGCGAAAGAATATCGCTTCCTACCAAGGATGATACGTGAGGCTATTGAAATAAAAAAACATCCTAATTTCAATACAGAAGGAGGCTGGGTACTACCACCTGCTTGGGATCCTATAATTAATAAAATTAAAACGAAACCCAAGCATACCACTGCTGGACTTCAAAACACAGTTAGTTCATTCTGCGTAGATCGGACCAAAGACAATAATTAAAAAAGCTGAAGGTACTCAGGGTTAACTTTGACATCGGGACGTCAGTCACCTCAGTCCCCCGTGACTATGGGTGCTGGAAAGCACCCGAAACGTCGAGTATTAAAAATAAAATAAATAAAAAACGGTAAAATCCGTAAAAGTAGTTTTAATTCATGTAAAGTGTTCGCGTAAATATAAGAAATCATTACATCGATGAGATTTTTGTTATAGTGGGAATCTGACTTCCCAATTACGACACAGTGATCTAAATAAATGATACATTTATCATAACTGAGTCCTACCATAGCTATAGTCATTAGTCTGGGAAAAACGCTGGCGCTAGTTTTTAGCTTCATTTGGTATTGCTTTCCGGCTGTAAATTTAGTATATTTTCGTGACTCTTCGTCAAAGAAAGTTGATACATAAAGATTTCTTAAATTTACGCGAACACTACACATTGAATAAAACTAAATTCACGGATTCCATCGCGTTCAATTAATTACTTTTACTTATTTTTTAATGAGCTTCCATTAAAACATACTACAAGATGCCGAAGAACATTAGTCAATTTTTACCATCCGTCAAGCGTAATATCCCTCTACAAGATGCAGGAGTTTACAACTTAGATTGTGAAAACCCGCGTGAAAGAACATATAGCTAACGTGAAGCACTGACGATAATTTTTGTTCCAATCTACACACCTCTATGTACCTGCTGTACTACCATATGTCAGAGGAGTCAGTGACAATATTAGCCACCAAGTTTTTACCATCAGTCAAGTGAAGTGTCCCTCTACAAAATGCAGGAGTACCTAAACAAGCCTGATTATGAATGTGGTCTCTCTTACATAAGTCTAACTAAAAGATCAATTAGTACCCGCGTTAAAGAACATATAGCTGATGTGAAGAATCAACGCTCCGGGAAGTCTGCAGTCTGTGAACATGTTCAAGATCGTCCCCACCATTAAATCGGACTTGATAAACCACAAATCCTCGCAAAAGAATACCAATTCCTACCAAGGATGATACGCGAGGCTATTGAAATTAAAAAAACATCCAAATTTCAATAGAGAAGATGGATGGGTGCTGCCATCTGCTTGGGATCCTATGATTAACAAAATGAAACACAAACCCAAGCATACCACTGCAAGACTTCATGATACTATAACCTCGTTTTGCGTAAATCGGACCAAAAATTAATATTCAAAAAACTGGAGGTAGCCGGACTAACTATGACATTGGGACGTCAAACATCTCAGCCCCCCCCCGTGATCATGGGTGCTGTAAAGCACCCGAAAAGTCGGGATATTAAAAATAAATTAAAGTTGTAATTAAAACGCGATAAAATCCGTTAATAATAGTTTTATTCAATATTTTATTTTGTCCAACCTAATACTTCAAAACAATAATCAGAGTGATTATTAAAAATTAGCTGTAATTCCAATTGCCAAAATCTGTGCCGTGATTGAAGCGTATATTGAGCACGCCTAAAATGTATAACAATGCAGTTGTATTTTTTAATTAAGGTGACAAGTGAGCACACAGACCACTTGATGGTAATATGCTGTGGCCTGTAGACATTTTCATCTATCCTTTATCAAAAATCAAAATGCAGATGTTTTGTCAATACAGAAGACTAAGGTGGAATGCCTCGTTACCAGTAAAAAGTGTCTCCGTTCCTCTACACTTCTGCTATTTAACACAGTCATAATATAGCTGCTGCATGGATTTACCACGTTAATGTTTTTTATTTTATTTCCTTAACAGAAAAATCAAGGTCGACCCGACGAGCTCTATTCATGATAGTAGTGTTAAACACGATGGCGATATTCCAAGGTCTGATAGTGGCGCAAGTGTACGCGCAGCCTCTCTTCGCCGAGGCTGTGCCCTCAATGTCATCAACTATATGCAGCGTAATCTTCACGTTAGTGACCATTACGTCCGGCTTTGTTGGCGTCTTTTTAGTTGATTGGGCGGGGAGACGGGTGAGACTGGGATTTATATCTAATATTTTCCTCTAATTTTTGACATATTTTATAGAAGAAAGGTAGTAACAAACTACTACACATTTTACCTAATAGTAATTAAATGCTGTTGCCCAAAGACTTCTACATACATCAGTAATTAATAATCAAAATGTAGGTTCGTTCCCATACCAGAGAACTCAGAAGGGATGCCTCGTTACCAGTAAAAAGGGTTTGGTTCTAGTGAATAAGTTGTTGCCGGTGACCCATAGACTTCTTCATCGGAAAAAACTGTGTTTGGTTCGATTAATACAAAACGCCTGAAGAGATTTAAAATTAATATGGTAAAAAACCTTCCTTCACTTTCTTACAGGAATAACTAAGATTATTTAAATTTAGTCCTAAAACACTCTCCAGTAGCAGTCGCAAGGCATTTAATGAGTGGGTAGACAGTAGGAATTCATAAGAGCAGACGAAGATTATATGACCTTTACCATGGCAGATCATATAATTTTTCTGATACTTTTAGAGAATGTGTTAAAAATTATTCTAAAATGTTTAAAAGAGTGTGTTCTACAGCCAAATATTTACATATTAGCAACAAAATTAAGAATGCTAAAATTAAAAATAAAATGACGTGGAGTATAATTAATAGTGAAATTTTGTAAAGACAAATCTCGTAACACAAACTTTCAATTGAAAATTAATAACGAATTGACTAGATCAAATCAAGAAGTCGCAGCGGTATTTTAGAAATATTTCACGGATATTCCTATCTTAACGTCTTTAAATATTTCTCCAACTGTCGCCGAGTCTTTACTTTATAAGAATTTAGATTTGAAAAAGTATAACCATAAGATATCGTAAAATATTTCACAATCCTTCATGTAAAGAAAACAATGAAAAGTTGATTTTTGGGGTATATCCATTACGGTTATTGCGTCAATAATAGATTTATTTGCGCAATATTAGATTTAAATGCATTCATCTTGCTATTATTTTTAAAACTAATATTGAATCTAGTATGTTTCCTGATTTAATAAAACATATTAAATTAATACCTTTATTTAAATAAGGTAACACATTGGACCACAGAACACTAGTACCATTAGGTGGGCATTGGACCCCGCTAATTTTAGACCTATTTCTGTACTACCAACTCTTAGAAATTTTTTGAAGAGTTTTGGATCAATAGTTATTTTTTTTTAATTCAAATAAATTACTCCATAAAAATCAATTTGGTTTTGACTGACGCGGGTGTCGAGCTTATGAAATATATTTTCATGCTTGGGGTAATTCACAAGATGCAATTAGGTATTTATAAAAAGGATTTCATTTGTGTTTATTATTAGATATTAATCAGGAAACTACGACGTCAACATTATTGCACTTAGACTTATTATTTCATATTTAAATAACAGAACTCAAAAAGTCCTTATTTATAGTAAAGGTTTCTCCAGATCAGTAGTATCAATGGACGTTACTCTGTGCTCAATCCTTGGTCCATTCTTGTTCTTAATCTTTATTAATGACTTACCTTATCTTGTAGGGAACAATCACGATCTTTAATTATCAAACTCAAACGGCAGTCAGTAAATTTTGACAATGTTAATAATGCTCTATCGAAATTAGTACATTGTTCATTACAATGACGACAATAATTTGCTCTTAAACGGCACTAAAACAAAATGTATTAAATTTACCATACCTAATGTCAAATATTCGAATACCATAGTGCTCTTAAATGGGGAGTAGTTGAGTTTTGTGAATACCACTGTTTTTCTTAGTATTATTATTGATGAGAAGCTTTAATGGGGCCCCCACCTATATTAGCAGACAGACTTAGTTCCAAAGCATATTGGTTGAGCGGCGGGCCTATTCCCAGCACATATGCTGATAAAGATTAAAAGTCTTACCAAATTTGCGATAGCTAGATTAATTTAATTTAGTTACTATCATAGCGTAATATCTAATGGACTCTTACTAAAATAACTGGGGTAATGTGACTGACATTGAAGTCATATTTGTTTTGAAAAAGAGAACCGTACGGACGATTTATAACTTAAATTGTAAATAGTCCCTTAGAGTAAAATTAAAAAGAATAAACATATTTATTTTGGCATGGCAATATGTTTATGAAAATGTAAAGTATGTATATTATTATTATAAAACATGCACATAAGGTTAAGCCTTCGCTGTAAATTTTACAGTACACGTGCAAACCTGGTTCGATCCCCGCCGGCACCAACGAAATTGTTGATTGCAATTTTAAGTGCTGATTTACCACGTTCTCGGCGGTGAAGAAAAATATCGAGAAGAAATGCAGGTTTCTTCGAAATAAGAAAAAATATTTCGAAGACATGTGAAGTTTCCCAACACGCATTGTGGCACCGCGGAGGCTAGCTAGCGGCTCAGGACATAAAAAAATAAAAATAATTTATTCCTAGAAATAGAGCTACAGACCTGAACATTGGGAAAAAAGTGACTTATATTAAATTAATTTTAACTTATATTATATTAAATTAAATACTAATTACATATAAATTCTTATTACATATAAAAAAGGTACTGGCGGGCCACAAACTAGGCATAGCCTGTATCTTGGGGACCAGGAATACGGTTATCAGTTTTACTTACGTAATTAAAAGTACCCAAAATTATACAGAACAACAAATTATTTCTTAATTTAGGAAGATAGTTTTTAAGTATTTGTCGCTTATATTAATATTTATTTTTTATTCCTAGGAAAAATATGAATACAATATTTTAGTGTGAAACGTAGATATAATTTGGTATTATTTTTGCTTTAATATTAAGTTTTCGGTATCATTATAATTTAGTGTGGTGAGATATCTTTTTACTATATGTTTAGCTTTCAAGGTGGTGCAATTTTTGATGTCACAGACTTTAAGTATTTTGTTATAAATATGAGGATGTGAGAACTGTGGAAGACGTTACGCGAAAACAGACCTGGCAGCCGGAATTGGGATTTTAAATATTCGTTTAGTGATTAGGTTGTCGTAAATAGGCGACTGAATTACTTGCCCATGGGTTTTTAAAACTGCGGATAGAATATACAACTGGCGTACACACAAAACCTCACTATCCCGATAAAGATCGGCCGTAGGGTACTGGTAGGGCTTTTTATAGATGACCTTGAGAACTGCTCTCTGTGCCCTCTCCAACTGCAACATCGTGGTTTTGGAGGCACCACCCCAAGCTGATATACAATATTGTATTAAGGATTGGCAGAGGGCAAAATAAACCATACGAAGTGTCTTTTTATCAGCACAGTTCCTGAGCAACTTCATTATGTAAATAACCCTCTTGACTCGATTTGAGAGGTATGAGATATGCTGTTTGAAGGAAAGATTGTGGTCAACAATTACACCCAAGTACCTGATCGTCTCCACTCTCGCAATACCCTCACAGTCACAATGTTGCAGAATGTCACAAGTATGGACTGGAATGTCGTTCTGGATCAACGGATTCGATGCACAAGTTTTGTGGAAACACATGTATTTGGATTTTTTCGCATTAAGTGTCAACAAATTACGATTCAGCCACCCAGCCACTTGACCCATACCGTTCTCGGCCAGCTTTCTTACTTCTTTCCAGGATCGACCATGAAATAAGACAACGGTGTCATCTGCGTAACAAATTGTTTCACACTGAGGTATTTTGAGTTCTAGAAGGTCATTCATATATAGAACAAAGAGGGTCGGCCCGAGAATACTGCCCTGGGGCACGCCGAAGGTCACCTGAAGCTGGGAACTAATGTGATCAGGCCCTAATTACACGCTTTGGTATCGATTAGTGAGATAGCTTTGAAACCAATTCCTAGCAGTACCGCGGATTCCAAAACCTTCGAGCTTCTTCAACAATATTTGTCTAGACACGGTATCAAAGGCCTTAGAAAGGTCCAGAAAAATACCAAGACTGCATTTACCATTATCCACCTTCGATGAAATTTGATTTATCAGAAGATTAATAGCATCCTCAGTGGACTTCCCTACCCTAAACCCAAACTGTCTATCAGAAACTAGCTTCAACTTCTCGATATACTTCAGCAGACGGATATTAACTATCTTCTCAAGAAGCTTTGAGAAGATTGTTAGGAGCGATATAGGCCTGTAATTATCCGGATTATTCTTTGGTCCAGCTTTGTAAATCGGACTTACTACCGCACACTTCCATTTGTCAGGAAATACGCCCTTACTAAGACTAAGGTTGAAAATATGAGTAAGAGGAATCAAAATTGACTCTTTAATAGATTTAATAAGAAGAGGGGTACATCCGTCAACCCCCGGCGCACTATCATTACGTAAACCCTCAATCAGCCTCTTGATTTCCAATGAATCAGTTGGTTTAAAGAAGAAAGAGTTAAGCGGAGGATTGGGAGTTCCAACGGAAGCACTCAATTTGACCTCTGAGGTTGAAAGCTTAGACAGGATTTGATCAGCCATTTTCGACCGGAGGAGACAAAATGACTATTACAGAAATTTAATGAAGACTTGATGTCAACATCACTTTTCAAAAGTTTCTCAGAATCTTTACTCCTTTGGGGGATACCTCGCAAACGTTTCTTATTGCCTGCCAAAGCTTTTTAGGATTCCGCTTATGGTTTCCATTCTCGTGCTCAGCCTTGAGTCGGTGCAGCAGGTCATTACAATAGTTGCGATATCGTTTGTAGGTCAGATTAAGCACAACGTCATTAGGGTTCGCACGGACCTGACTATGCAAATAGTCTCTGTGTCGCATACATTTTATTAGCCCGGGAGTAATCCAGGGTTTAATGTTGTATTTAGTGCGACTCAATTTTACTTTACTAGTATGTTTGCCTATAGCTGATTGTATAATCTGGCCAAAATTAAAAGTGGCCTCGTTGACGTCTTCACAGCCAGTTATTGTCGACCAGTTCATACCGCAAAGGTCCAAATTAATTGCGCCGATATCAACAATATTGCTGTACCTGTTTTTCGATTTAGGTTTATTTTCAGCAAAGCTCACACCTACCATAG